CATTTGCCATATGGACAACAGATTTTATTATCAGCTTCTTCTACACTAAAACCATCACCCATCCATTGTATTTTCCATGGTTGGGTAGCAGAGCCCCAGAGGAAGGAGCCTGGACACCATGTAGATTATGGCCAGTGGCTGAATGCAGATTTTGCAGTAAATCTCTCCCATTTCTTCAGGTATAAAATGTTTCCGAGCAGTCCTTTGTTCTTTACAACTCAGCTCCAAGAACAATGCAAAAATGAACACCAATCTATGTTGAGTATGTTGCGTTCTCCAAAATGTTTGGGAATTCCTCAACAAGTTTTATTTAAATTAGCACTCTATAAATTCTTGTGGTAATCCCCAATTCTCTGAAGACATACCTTGTTCTGTGATATTACCTATGCCTCTATCGGTGATGAAACAATAAATGTTTGTGATGAGAGTTTATTGCTCTCCAATGACCTCAGAAACATTGAAAAAACCTTGAGGATTCTAAGGAGAAATGCTAAAGTGATAAAAACCAAGGAATTTCCTTTTCACAAATGCATGAACATGCCTAACTCCCATTTCTGTCACTTGAAGCAGCCCGAAGTGTACCAGAATTATGAGAGACAAGTTTCAATTTGTGCTCTGGGTTTTCATCATTCTCTGGGCTGCAGAATGACTGGTTTGGAGGATTATCAGGGTCTCAGCAATGAAATAATAAGAACTGGTATCTGGAGAGACCACTGCAATATCATCTATTGACTGTTGCATAGACTGAAATGCTGAAACCCTGATGTTTCATCTCAGCAGAATTTTCATTCATGCATGCATTTCATTGCTAAAAAAAATATAGCCAGTCACTACCTTTGTAGGAATGAACTTCAAAATGCAAATCAACATCTTTTGCAGTTTTGAAACCCTCAAACAACAGCTCCATTGCATGAAAATATCTATTACCTTTTTCAGTGGTTAAACAATATAGAAAAACAGCCCCTTTTTTGAAATGCAAAGGAAGTGTTCTACTATCTTCATCACTGCACTCCACAATGCTGGCTGACAAGAAAAGCTATGCATTGAGATGGGTGGAAGTTTAACTACTTGAGGCAGAGCTAGCAGAGGAATATTTATGGACATTCTGTATCTCACAGCTTTAAAAAATGCTGCATTTTTTATTTAGGTAAGAAGACCTGGCTTATAAAATGATTTAATCTGCCACAAAAGAATGGTATCCAGAGATACCGTAAATGAGATCAGTCACAAAGCCTGATCAGCTGGCTTTATAAAATAAGCTCACCATGCAGAAATATTTATCTGTCTAGACATAATCCCTTACTCTGTGGAAGCCAGTTAAGAAGACACATGCAGACATCCTTGCTTACAAATGTAATTTCCTGTTAGTTATTGCTAATGATCAAGTGAGAAAGGGTGTGGGCAGAGAAGGTACAATAGGCAGAAATGGCTGCATTGCTGGAGCTTTTTTTGGATGCCGATAAGTGAAACAAAGATGAAGAATTTTTGGATGCTCATTTGCATCATGTCTAAATCTCCCTGGAGAATGAAGGGGTCCATTGCAATGATGACCAGATGACTTTTGGTGCAGAAAGAAGTTCGGGTGGAAAAAAACAGTGCTGGGCTCACTTCTTCCCCAGCAAGTTGAATGACCAGCATTAGGCAGCCCAAGTCTCTGCAAAGTTGGCGCTCATCAATTCCTGCACTCTATTGCCAATAAATTCAGTATTGGAGAGTCAGTGGACAGCAGTGCAATTTAGAAGGTGATACTTGCTTTTCACTAGGTTCTTGACTCATACAGCCTGAAAATCACAGGAATTAATATCAGACTTTGCTCACAGGGTGCTTCCCAAATGAGCTGAGACCATCAGCAGCATCTAGAGTCTCTCCCACTTCTTCATCAACCTCAAGAGGTATTTTTCTGTCATGCTAAAGTTGCTGCGGATCACCACAGATGCTTTATCAATCTACTTGCTCTGATACAAGGTGTAAGGTTTGTTGTTTTTTGTGATGTTTACGTAGGAGATGTCTGGCAAATAGGGTGGGCCCTCTTGGTCCTTGGCCCAGTGAAAATCAAAGGAGTCCTTGTTTTGTTCTTGCTATTCAGCAACCCTACTTATCCAATGGTACCTTTACTCACAGGCAACCACAGACACATCAGGTACTCTGTAATTACCACCCGAGCAACCTCAGAGTGGTAGGAGAACGTGCATTTTGTCAGATGAAAGGGACAAGAAGAGCCTTTGCTGTCAAGCTTGAGATCAGCCTCTGGTTCCTCAACAAGAATCTGCTTCCCTGCTGCGTCCTGCAGACACTGACAGCAAGGGAAGCATATGGCTGCAAATGGTGAGAAAAAAGCCAAGGGAGAACTATAGCCATCCAGGCTTACTGCAGTGTGTCCACTTGCCTCAAAGAATAATCACAAGGGACATGCTGATGGTCTGTTCTGTACAGAGTGAGTTGTTGCTTCTTGATGTGAAATTGTGTCCTGTTGATTAACATCACTGAGTGGATCTCTTGTTCCTCATTTTTGGCCTTCCTATGCTTATCTCATCCATGTCATCAGAACTCTTTGCAATTTATAAATCATACAGAGAAATCTTTGTTCCCTTGGTCCTGGCCCCAACGCCATCAGAAACAGTAATAGAAATGTCCCTGGCAAGTGAAGGAAAAGTTTGAGACTTTCAGCCAAAATGACTGCAAACAGGTAAACAGTGCTGAACAAAACTTGTCTTGCTGCTTGAAAACCATCTCCCTTCTTCTGTTCTGGGAGATGACTGAATGTTACTCTGACTTAGAGCTGTTGCATCTTGCTGCTCCTACTTGCATACTTTCCCCTCTTATATTCCACAACATTTTTCCTCCAGCTGTGCTATGCCTAGTGCCAAAAATAAGAATGCAGAGAACAGCCCACCACTGCAAGAAAGGGAACAGCATCTGCCCACTTCTCCTCTGCAGTTTTCTTTAGGTGACAACATGAGGAACAGGCTCAGGAGCTGGGTTTTGAAGTGACTGTGTGGAGAGCAGCCACTTCCTCAGCAGAAACCAGGAAAGCAAAACAGACCCTTTTTTGGGAAGTTTTCTTGCCTGAACATTAAAGCAAGCAAAACTAGACTCCACGGCTTTCTTCCCTTCAGGCAATATCTGTGCAGGTCTAGCCCTGTTATCCTCAGGGCTTGAATGAACAGCGCATTTTTAATTTCTAGTTCCTCCAGGAAAAAGATATGAGAAAATTCTAACCAGAAAAGAAATAAATTCTTGAGTGTCTTATGACTGATATGAAACTGCCTTCAGAGCTTCCTAAATACCAGAGAAGCCTAGTATCTGATTGGGTTGATATGTAAACATGTTACTAGCGTTAACTAAGTACTTCTTACAAAACAGTGTTATAAGTGTTTGTGTTTGCATACACTCATGCAAATACTTGCCCACCCACACACCATATCAACCTAAAGTGAAGGAAGATTTTTTTTCAGGAAAATAACCCCAGAAACTTACTACTTCTTATAATTAGGTTGCTCTGTCCCTGCTGCCTATGCCTTGCTGAAGCAATATAAGGCAAGGACCAGACTGCCTCAGAGTCAATGATAAAAATGAGGAGTAATGAGAAGTCCTGGGCTAAACTTTGCTGACACATCAGTGTCCTGTGGAAAGCCAGCCTGGTCAAAACTTGTCCAGATTTCTTGTAAACACATCTGCAGAATGCAAGGTTTTGAAAGAAGACTACGTGGACAGGGATAGCTTTTCTGTGTCTTGTCTCTTGTGCCACAAATGCCTTCCCCACTTACAGTAGAAATATCAGGAAACCCCAGGAGAGGAACAGGACTCTCATATTTCCACCTGGAAATCCTAAGGAAATGCAGATGATGCATGGGGAGCCCCTAACCACAGTGTCTCTGCAGGAAGCATAGCATCCCAGGTGTACCAGAGTTAGTCTGCACATGCTGTGTGGTTGATATGAATGCACACAATCTGTGCCACATCACTGCAATAACTGCAGAGTGCTCAGCTGCAGCACACCCAATGCGCACACTTGGCACAGTTGTGCTGTGCATGCACCAGGCCCGCTCTTCTAGGATGTCATGCAAGTGAAAGCAAGTTACTGTTATGTCCAAGGTGTTGGATATTCAGCAAACTCTGGAATAAATGGCTAAATTCCTCTTCTCTGTTAAGGACTAAATTTCCAGTTGAGGAAAAAAACAGGTACGGAAAATTCCCTGGAAGGGATCTTTAAGACAGAAGTCTTCAGAAGCACAGAACTGGAGCAGTCAAAGGGAATTGCCCTACCTCCACTCTGGCACCACTGCATCACGTCACAGTTGGCCAAATAGGTACTTTTTTTTTTTTTTTTCCCCCCTTGCTACTGTGCCACCTGCAGAGGTTTTAATAATTCATTTCTATTACAAAAGCACATGTGTTTGCATTCTCTGGTGCCATTTCTGACAGGAACACACATCAAATTTTGTAGAGTTTATTTTTTTTACAGGTAAAAAACCTGAAAACTCTGCTGTTTCTAGGTGTTTGCTTTCTTTTTTGTAACTAGGTAGATTTATTTTACATCTCAGTATGCATTTGAAAAGGTGACTTCTTTCTGAACTCCTGGGGATAAGGAAAAATTCAAGATTCCACAAAAGGTCCCCTAATTATGCTAACTGCTTGCAACAGACAGGAATGTGATTCATCATGAATGAAAATTATGCTGCCACTGGGAGTGGCAATGGCTTTATATCCCATTGCTCCAGAAGCCCTGTCATCAAGCTCAACAGTCAAGTTGACACCATCAGTCCTGAGAAGGTAAATATCTCCCTGACCTTTAATTCTAACCTTTATGTTACAAATGACATAACTATGAAATGTCTGAAGATTGCTATGTGCATTAGTGAAGTACATATCTGCTTAGCATATATATACTGTATATAACATATTTTGAGGAAGTGAGAATATTTTCAAGATGCTGGGCAATGGTTTGGAATACATTAAAATGTGTGGGCTGTGTGATGAAGCTGTGCTTAGGTTGCACAATGGCTTTACCAGGTGTGTTTCTAAAAGAAGATTAAAACCAAACCTTTTCCCACTTTTTCTGCATGATCCAGCTTGGTCATTTATGAGAACATAATCTTTATACACCATTCCAGATTTTAAATATTTATACAGATAATTTAATTCTTCTTGTGTAATGGGGAAAAGGTATCTTCCACATCTGTGGAGAAAGTTATTCAATCTCAGTAGGAATCAAACCAAAAATGACTTAGAATAGTGGAAACCCTAAAATACTGAACTGACTTTCTAAGGGATCAGATGCCTCTGCATCAATTTACTGGATGAAGATACTGGGAAAAGACTTTAATAAGAAAAGAACTCTGTCCTAGGTGTAAGATGTGAAGAGTTTTGCAGAACATTCAAGATCATCTACTAGTAATAATTGTGATCATAACTGAAGTATATCTGGGAAAAATGTTAAAGCTGTAGATAAAATAAAAAATATGACTGGAATTTTCCACCTATATGCAGTGTGCTTTTGTTGAAAATCTTGCTTAGTGAGCCTATCAGTTCAATTTTCTGTCAAATGTTCATTAAGCAACCAGCCTTTGAAGGACACTGTGTGAGGCACAGCTGATTAATACCACAAACTTTTTAGAGAGAGACACAGAGAGTGAGGTATGATCAAGGGGTGTAATTGATAAGTGCTATGCCTAGAGGACTCGAGGCAAGAAAGATTGGGACATAAAGTGAGCTGGGACTGTACTTAGGATAAGGTTAGCACTAAGTGACAAAGCCATAGATATTGCTTGAGCTGGAGAAACAGCTGAACTCAGAATACTGTTTCTGAAAATGTGTTTCTCCTGCCATTCAGGGTGCTGGTTTTCAGATGAGTTGTTTCCATCTGAAGTTCACTGTGAAATCCCAGATGTGGCAAGTCAGGAATCTTCCGTGAAGTGCTGAACAATTCAGCCATGCTACTGCAGAAAACCTTACTGTGCTCTACCAAGGCATGCTAAGCTTAGCAGGCATAAGGATGAGAAGACTAAATCTTTGTTTGCCTTGTTGCAGGCGATCACAGTGCCACAATGTGCTCTCTCAGCGCAGCCAATGCCAAGTTCTGTCTTGACTTTTTCAGAGAGCTGAGCAAAATAAAAAGAAATGAAAACATCTTCTTCTCCCCACTAAGTCTTTCAGCCACCTTTGGGATGGTTGTCCTTGGAGCCAGGGGCAACACACTGAAACAGATTGAGAAGGTGGGTTTCCTTTGCTCTGAAAAGGTGATGGTGGCAAGATATGAGCCAAGAGGCTGACAGTACCGTCTGATATATTTCCTAAATATCCAAAGGTCTGATGTGCCAGCATACCTTTAAAAGCCCCCTCTCTTATGCTATTCCTAATACCAAACTTTTTCAGACTAAACGCTATTACAGTAATTCATCATTCAATGAATACATCACTGCTAAAGAAAGTGTTTTGGAGGTATCACTCCAAGAAGAAAGATTTAAAAGATTTCATGAGCTCACCCTCTATGAAAACTTCTTGCTCACTCGCAAGGATCTCATGATAAAGAACAACTGGACTTTCCACATTTACTGTGTCTGACTGTGTTTTGGGATAGGCTTGCAATGATTTGTTTTAGCTTTGAGGTACCATCACTCAGCTGCATTCACCTAGCATTTACATTGCAGGTATTTCATTTCAGTGAAGTGCTGAGCAGTACAAGCCAGGGAAACAAATACCCTTCTGAGAAGGTAAGGCACAGTTACAGCTCTGAGTTGAAGCAACAAGTGCTGGTTTGTCAGCCTTTTTCCTTGCAAACCATCACTTAATCAGAAAGCACAGCAGGGCTGAGCACCCTTTCTGTCTGGATTTGCAGACCTGCTTATTACTGTTCTTTTATTAGTTATCTAAGGGGCCTTTTGAGGTCACACATTTCAACAGCTAAGCCTTCTCATTACAGGTTTCTAACCAAAACAGCAGTACCAATCTAAGATGTGATAAGTGCTTAAATTGCTACCCGCAAAGGCACCTCAGAGCTTGCTCCTCCCCGGCTCTAAGCCAGCAGACTTTAGCTTAGTGTGCGCAGAGCGATCACTGTAGGATATAATGTGATTTGGAGGTGGGCTGGTGTGGGCCTGAAGGGGAATTGTTTTGTCATTCTGTACATCTGGTAGAGGGGGAGCTGGAGGTGGTGTCTTGGTGTGGTATCAGCTGGGTGGACTCAGGCTTCTCATGCAGAGGGAGGCTGCACTTCACCCTCAGGTCCAGCTTTGCACAGGAAAGCTGAAGCCTACTAAGAAACTTCTGGTTTCCCATTTGAAGTGCGAAGAAGGTGGAGGAGTCCATTCCCAGTTCCAGGCTCTGTTAGCTGCAGTCAGTGAACCCAGACCAGGCTGCTCTCTCACCATTGCCAACAGGCTCTTCGGAGAAATTACTTATCCGTTCTTCCAGGTAAGTGGCCGTGGTGTCCATTTTAATAGCTCCTGGGAGTTACGAGCTCAGTAGAATTTCTTCCATCATAAAGTACAAAGGGAAATGAAACACAACGGTGCTGTCAGGGTGTGCTGCCACATGACTGCACTCCACAGCCCTTGCAGTCAGGGAGCCTTTCCATCTCAATTGCTCAGCGGTTAGACACTGGGAACAGCAGAGCACTGGGAAGCCATGACTTAAAATCTTTTATATAAAGAAACAGATCTATGGTAACAGCTCTCTCTGGGCATTCCAGAAAATGTGATAGCATTAATCAACGTCAATATATCCTTGACACGCACACCCAGCGTTTAACAGAGCTGGCTCTTGCTGCGTCATTTCTATCCAAAGAACAAAGCTCTGTGACCAGCAGGAGACTTCTTTTCCCCCAGTGTCTTCTCTGTTTCTAATAAAATGATTGTACTCACTCTTCCACCTTTCCTTCAGAGTCTATGCTAATATGGGACTCTGATTCCTGCTGCCTTTTCAAACAAGGCTTAGAAGAAAGTAGCATCTTTGAGATTTTTGTCAATTAGTCTAATTTATGTGGAACTGACCATCTCAGAACATTCCTGTGGAACACTGACAGTGCAGGCAATGTGAGTGCATACAAATAATTTCTTCAGGAAACCAGACATAAGCAGTTTGTAAGAATATTGCTAGGAACAGTGCTGTTTTATCTCTGTAACCACCTTTCTCTTTTCAAGTCAAGATTTCATCTTGCTTCCAAAACGTTGCACTCTAGGTAAAGTGAGATTTTCAGAGGCAGAAAAAGGTGATCAGCAGCCTGGAAAAGTTTTGTACTTAATACAAGTTATAAATTTTACAGTACATATATCTACTCAGAGTAATACATATATATACACACACACACACCCACATATTGTGATATTATCAGTCCTGGTTATTTGTTCAAAATAAGGCAACCTTCTTCATTTGGTGGTTGGGGGAAGACAGGCAGCATGACAATGATATATAAAGAAAGGTACTAAGTTTTGGTCTTAGATATTTTTTACTGTGATGAGACATTTCAGCTTGAAAATACAGAAAAATATATTTGCAAATATGATTTGTTATCAATAATGTCTCTCTAAAAACTGAATGCTTGAGTTAATTCAATGAATTTTTTTATATATGTCTGGTTTACTCATTCCTTTCTTGCTGATCTACCACACGGAATTACCTTGAAGCCATGAAATTATCAATCTTATAAAAATCATCATGTTATGATAAAATTCTGTCATTTGTACTTTTCAGCAATACTTGGATTCCACAAAGAAATTCTATCGAGCAGAACTGGAAGCAGTCAATTTTAAATACACTGAAGAAGCAGCCAGGGAGAAGATTAACTTCTGGGTGGAAAATGAGACAAAAGGTAAAGAAGAATATGCGCAGGTTGTTTGGTTTGCAATCCAACCAGTTAGGAGTATCATGTCTGAATTTCAGTTTCCACCTTTTTTTTTTCAAAGATGGCAATATATTTATATATTAAACACTTACTGCATTTTTTTTTTGCTCAGTAGGAAATAAATGTAGAAGTACAAAAGTGCCTTGTATTCCTGGCTTCAAAAGCTGTACATAAACTTTTTGTTATTTGTCTGACATCATTATACTACTTTTCAGATTTATAGGAGTAATTATTAATAGCCAAATGCACTTGATTCCCTAAACAAAGTAATAATTCTTTTTAATTCATTATTTTTAAAGGTAAAATCAAAGACCTATTTGCTGCTGGGTTTATTGATCCCTCCACTGTACTTGTCCTGGTCAATGCTATATATTTTAAAGGAAAGTGGGCAGTAGAATTTAAGAAAGAAGACACTAATGAAACGTATTTCCAACTGAACAAGGTACAGTATGGGCAGGAACTGAAACATCTGGGGGATGGAAATCAGATGTCAGTCTCCTATAACAACAGATGGGAGCTTTCCTCCTTTCTGTTATCCCAAGATGAAACACTGGTCTTCAGCTATAACAATGCAAAGCTACATCTTTGCAGTTTGATAACCAAATATGTAATTGTTTCTATCACTTCCTATCAGAAGGGGTTCTCGTGCAGCTGAGATCCTGGCTGAGTCAAAGTCACTGAGCACATGCACTAACTTTGTTGGGGATTTTGCAACTAAGGATGCTGTTTCAAAACCAGTCTGCTTTTGGGACTGAATTTGAGGATTCTGTTCCTCTGCTACTACTTACCAACACAATAGTGTTTGTTTTCAGGAAAAAATGAGCTAAAGACAAATTGTCTCGGGAGAATGTATACATTATTCATGAAGAATTTAGATTCATCGTTGCATCAGATGTATCAGTTTCCTCATCTGACATGCCAGAAAAAAGAATGACATAACAAGGGAGTTGTGAATAAAGTAATCTGGCACCAGTAGAAATGGAAAAGTAGGTTTTATGCTTCTCAGATGGATAACTTCACTGGAGCTACAGTTAAGAGGTAGGAACACATCAATGCTACAAGTACATTAAACCCATGACCAGTGTAAGTAATGTTTTCTGGACTGAACTGTAGTCTCAATATTGAAGCCAGTTACAACCAGAGTGATCATTTCTGTATTTCTGTATTTTCTGCTTAATGTTTCATGTGTTCCAGAACGAGAAAAAGACAGTGCAGATGATGTTTCAAGAAGGTTATTTTAACATGGCGATCATAGAGGAAGTAAAAATGAAAGTGATAGAGCTCCCATACTTTACGAATGAACTGAGCATGTTCATTCTTCTTCCTGAAGTTGTCTGTGAGGACTTTACTGGCCTAGAACAGGTAATACTTCTTTTTCTTTCTAGTAGCATACATAAGGGGCTGCAAACAGAGCAATACTTGAACATTGCTCCAGAAGACAAGCGGGAAAAGATGAACCTTATTATCTTTTCCTTCCGTTCATTATGGTGTCAATCATTATTATCAATACCACCTTATAGCTTGAATGCACCCTCACGTATGAAAAACTAGCAGATTGGACCAGCTCGGCTAGGATGCAACAGCTGAGAGTGAAGGTGTACCTGCCCCAGTTCAAGATGGAGGAAAGTTATGTTCTCAACAAAACTCTCCAGGAGATGGGAGTGATGAATGTTTTTGACTGGGGAAAAGCTGATTTGTCAGGAATCTCTAGGAAAGATGGTTTAGTTGTGTCCAAGGCCATCCAGAAGTCATTTGTGGAAGTCAATGAAGAGGGCACTGAAGCAGGTGGTGCCATGGGACTTGTTGTGCTACCTCTGTGTCGCCCAATTTCTTATGAGTTCAAAGCTGACCATCCATTCCTCTTCTTCATCAGACACAACCCAACCAATACCATTCTCTTCTTTGGAAGATACTCCTCCCCTTAAGTGGAGTTTATTTTGGAAATTAGATCTTTCTCCCCACTAACATCTGCATTGGTAAGCACCGAGGACAAAAAGCGAGCACATTTTCGCTAGGCTTTATCCTAATTTGTTAATTTGCTGTAAAAAAGACTATCTGATAAGAGCCAAATTAGAGATTAAAAACCTGAAAAAAATTAACTGTTTCCTTTCTAACATCAACTTCAGGCATGTTTTACTTTCAGGAGGCCTCACTAAAATGACATCTACCTTAAAATACACTGTGTGATATTTGCCAAAGAGCTGTAGGCCTCTGGAGATGTCTGCATAGAAAATCTTATTTTGATCCTTTCCTAATGTAGCATGTCTCCAATAAACCCATGATTTTAGTGCCCTAAAGATGAGTGATATGTTCTCCCATATGAAGGAGACAGGAGGATAAGGATCTGCGTTAAAAGGATAAACTTAGGTACTTGGTCTCTTTTGTCTTTACCTACCCAACCTCTGTATAGGTCTCAAGGAAAATGCCACTTTGTATGGGAGTAGCAAAGTATTCCTGTGGGAACCCTCCTTCAAGTGTTGATCAGGGGTCATGTTTCAAGCTGGAATGAGGCTCTCAGGATTTATTCTCAGAAAGCAGAGAAAGCAGAAGACTTTTCTGGTGTAATCTTGCTTGTTCTCAAGCAGGGCAGACCCAGTCCTTATTTTTTCCTGTGAGAAACCCTGTATGTGCTAAAAAGTTCTCTAACTGCTTCATAAACTTCCACGTAACAAACACAGGGTTTCAGAATAATGGAAGGCCTTTTCTGATAAGGCCTGCTCTGTGATGGCTGTGAATTAGACAACTAATTCCCACATAAAACTTTAAGCTGTGATCAGCCATTCTTGCCTTTAAAAAAACCCCAGCTCTCTTTCTTTGTGCCTCCGATACCACGAGTTTCTTGTTCCGTTTTATTCCTCATCAGCATAAAAAACTAATAAAAACATCTATAGTGATTGTATTTGAATGGGTAGCCTGTATTTCTTCCTTTTATCATCATAAAACCACTGCAAACTAAATATTAAATGTAGTAGTCTGCAGAATTAAGTGGACAGAATAATAGTCTAATATAGCAGGTAAAAATAATGGTAATCCTTTGAAAAGTGTCTAAGTGACACTGAAGTCTACCTCCTATTTTTAAATATCCATTGTGCTAAGACAACTCCACATTAAGATAGGTAAACCCTGAGCCTTACCTACTGCTTCTCTCGCGCATTTGATTTTACCAGGGAATTAAGAGTGCAGTTTTAGGACATGGCTGAACCAGTCTAATGCCATTGAAAAGGAGGATGCTGCTTCCCTTGTCTCCTTCCTTCCATGTGTTCCTGCTCCCTCCCTTACGCCACCAATATTACTTGCCTTACTAGGTAATGAGCAGCTCTCTTGTACCTAAATCAAGAGGAAAATTTCTGGTAAAGTTAATCTGCTTCCTGATGACCTAAACCACCTCCTGGATGTTGCAGAGTACATGGTGGGAAGGCATAGGGAGGGCTTATGGAGAACAGAGCAGCCCACCCAGTTTGGCAGCAGGCAATGTCCAAAATCCATAGACACATGAAAAATACTTGCTTTTAAAAGAAAAATATTCCACAGCTTTAGTTACTCACTCTCTTTTTCCTGTTGCTTGACGATGGGAAGAAGATAAATGCTGGGAGCATACTAGTGCCATTTCAGAACTGCGGATACAAAGGGCTCTTCCAAATGCTGAGGTGTGCAGGAAAAATTACAATAAATTACAGTATGCAACAGAAATTCAATTGCTAAATAAAGCAGATTCATGATAGTCTGTGGAGCTCTCTCACATGGCTGCAATTTCAGTGTGAAATAGAGCCTGAAATAGTAAAATTATCAGTAGAGGCACAGTTTTCACATCAACTAGCTGGTAAGAGACGAGAACACCAAACACAGGCTGTGGGCTCTTCTGAGGAATATGGTATGCAAAAAATAGCCATGCATGTTTTTAATTGACTGCCATCGGTATTTTGTGTGTATCTGATTTGTCTCAAATGTAAATTACTTACGTTGAAAAAAAAAAAGCGTGAAATGAACAGTGTTAGACTGTATTAGCTTGCATAATCAGAACTATGTATTTTCAGATAAAATGTAAAAGAAAAACAATTAATGGCATATGTGATAAAGGCAAGTGCTGTAAAATATCATCCTGAAGAGCATGAGTCTCACAACAAGAGAAGGAATTCTGTGTGTCAGCAAAAGAGAAGGTGTGGCTCAAACAAGGATTGTCACTTAGCTTACTACAGCAGAAGTAGTCACTTAAGATCTTTGTATTATTTTTTTTTTAAACTTGCTCCAGGGATATTGAGATAATTTTGAAACCAGGAACAAAATATAGTATAAATAAATAAATAAATAAATCTATTTTCTCTTCTCACAATCTTTTTTCTAATTGCCATCTTAATTTATAAAACATCTAAGAAACGTGGTGAAAACAACCAGGAGCTGGAAAGCAGCCTCCTGCTGCTAGTGTAGTGGTAGCAGCTCCTAGTGTAGAGGGCAGTGGTCCCACAAAATCAGAGATGTTTACTTAAAAATAGAAGGTAAACCCTCTACTCTGGCAACAAGTGCTTTTCCTGGGGGGAACTGTAGCTTGTAAATGTGCAATGCCAAACAACAGAGCTTGCAAAGCAGGGAAAAGCTGGAGACTCCAAATGGTGCCTGGAGCAGACACGATCCTGAAGGGGATGCCACTGCCTCTTCCCCAGGGACAGGCTTGATGCTGAGTGTTGCTGCACAGCCTGTTGAACCACGCCAGCATACCTCACAGCCTACAAACACGTACACTGCCAAAAAGCAAAGCAAAAGAAGTCAAATACTATTTGCATGAGCATCCGTGGAAAGATAACGCCCATTTGTCCCACACTAGAGACATCTGTGTCTTTCCACGGTCTGATTACTAAGTAAGTCTCAATTTACATATTCACCTTTCCACTAGACTCTGATCTCTCTGATGGTTTCAGTTCTCCCCAGTTTTCTCTGATATTTTGCTTTCATTTAAACTGTTTCTTAGTACCTAACATAATTGTTATTATATCTTCACAAGATTTGCAATGGATGGACAACAAGGGCAGAGGAAGTTCTCAATGAAAAAGTCAAA